GCAAACATACGGAAACGGGCGAGAACTCACGGTGACAATCGGCGGGCATATGTCAACATACCAGAATCATGATTATCGAATGGCCCTCGGCAGAAGGGGGACCTCTCGAGGGTCAGGAGGCGATAATTCGGAGCCTTTTGAAGTTTTCTTGGGGCTTCATTTTCACTGTTCAGCGTGCGCGCATGGGGAATCAGGCGAGAACCCGCGTTTACAGATGGCGGGCATCTGTCAAAATAGGTTTTTGAGCCGTCGTGGGCGTCTTGGGTCGAGATGTGGGGCGTGTCGGGGCCGCCCTCTTGGACACGCTACGGTGTGTGCGCGGCAAGTTCCCCAAGGACCCGGCAAGCGCGGCACCGTCCGCACCAGCGGTCGTGGTTTTTGGTGGTTGACATGTTCAGCGTTCGCCGTGCAAACATTTGGGAACGGAGATTATCGAATGGCCCCCGGCAGAAGGGGGACCTCTCGAGGGTCAGGAGGCGATAATTCGGAGACTTCGAAGTACTCTTGGGACCTCGTTTTCAGTGTTCGCCGTGCGCGCATGGGGAGCCGGGCGAGAACCCACGTTTACAGATGGCGAGCATTTGTTAAAATAGGTTTTGGAGCCGTCGTGGGCGTCTGAGATCGAGATGTGGGGCGTGTCGGGGCGCCCTCTTGGACAGTTTACTGTGTGCGCGCGACAAGTTCCCCCGGGATCCGGCAAGCGCGGCACCGCCCGCATCAGCTGTAGTGATTTAGGCCGTTGACATGTTCAGCGTTCGCCGTGCAAACATAGGGGAGCGGGCGAGAACCCACGGTGACAATCGGCGGGCATATGTCAACAGACCAGAGTATTACCAAATGGCCTCCGGCACATCCCACCACAGTGCCTGGGCTGCGGGTCTGTGACCCCTCGGGTGTCAGGTGGGGTCTCGTTGGAGGCGTCCTGAGGGCGTGTGGGAGGCAGTTTTTGAACCTTTTGGGGGCCTCCCGGAGCTCCCGGGGGGCCTGTTGGTGGGGGTTTCTTGGGGCAACCGGGGGGCGTTTTGGGGTCGCATGCTCGAAATGTCCGTTCGGGTTCCCCTTCTGGGCCCCTTCTTGGGGCTTCCTCGGGGCCCCTTTGGGCCGTCTTGGAAGCTTTTTGAGCGGCCTTGGGGCCCTCTTGGGTCGTCTGGGGGCACTCTTGGGGGCCTCTTGGGCCTTCTTGGAGCGATCTAGAAGGCTTCGTGGGCCGCCTTGGACGTTGTCAACGCACAAGTGGCGACTGTGCTAAAAATTCACGTTTTCCTTGAAGGAAAGCGATTTTTTTTTCTTGTTAGGCCGTCTTGGCACGCTTCTTCGGTACTTTTTGGGGCGTCTTGGGGGCCTCTTGGGCCGTGTGGAGGCTAGCGTGAACGTTTTGGATTGGTTTCACGGCGGCCGGGGGCCTTTCTTGACCGTCCCGACGGCCTCTTTGGGGCCCTCGTAGCCTGTTTGGGGGCTTTTTGCCCCCCCCATGATTCAGATGCTTTCGGGGCGTCTTCGGGGCGAGGGGTTTGGGGAGGGGGAAGCATGTCGATGAGTTGGGGGGAGATGGTGGATGAGGAAAAGGAGAGAACATGGGGAGGGTCAGGAGGGAGATGGATCCCCTACGCCCGAATTCTTCAGTAAGCCGTATACCAGCTCATCATCATGATTTCCTTATCGAACCTCTGGGACTCAACGGCCAAGCATTCTTGTGATGACCATCCGCCAGCGACCCTTCCCGGAGGAAACACGGCGACTCCTGTTCCATCATTTGGGCTTTCGTGGCGAGAAGGCATTTTGGATATTGGTGGAACGGAGGCGCCCGGTTCGCTAGATCACCCGCGTCGGCGCGAAGATGGGGACCATACTTCGGGCGTCGCGGCTTGGCCCGCAGAGCTGCCTTTCAACACGGCGGCGCCGCGAGGGCGCGAAGATAATTACTCGCGCGTCGCGAGTCGCGGGTCGCGGCTTTGTGAAGTTTGGAAAATGCGAATGGCACGATTTCTATATTTTTCCAGGGGGCTTGGCCTCCCCCGTCCCACCCGAAAGGGCGCGTCCCTGCCCGCAGGACGGGGCCAGATGGGCGCTCGCTCCTCGCTACTCCTCGCCTGTCCTCCTCGCCCCTCGCTTTTCATCCTCCTTCGCCCCTGTTCTTTGTGGATATCTCCTCAGTGTCGCACCACCAGGTGTGTCGCTAGGGCTGGTATCGGCGTATCGCCTCGAAATCCCCCGCCGCTTTGGAGCCTTCGAACCGTTCCACGGACGGAGGGCGTCTCGTTTTCAGCACGAGGCTGGCACCTTCCCATGTTTGCGCTAGGTTCCCACGCGGGGCTTTCGCTCGAGCGTTGCTTGAGCCTCCTGGTCAGAAGTTTGACGTGTGCAGCAGTTCTTGCGGATGGATACTGGTTTCTTGTGAAAGCGGGGCTGTCATTGGGTCCCCCCCCGAAACTGGAAGACCCAACCCTGTCACATTCTTCATGGCTCGAAGTATGGAGAGCAGTTTCTTTCGAAACGGAGCTCCCGCCAGAATTTTCGGGCCAGTGGGACGCTCGTCTTTAAGGAGGACGTTTCGCGCAGTGCAAACTATTGCTTGTAGGGAAAAGTGAGCAGGGGACCTGGGACGGGGTATTGCCTAATCGTTGATGCATGTCGGGTTTATTTTGGTCCTCTTGTTACCCTTCCTCTTCTCCTTTCTTCTTCTCCTCCTCCTCCTCCTTTCCCTGCTCTTCCTCTTATTTCTCCCTTTCCCCCGCTCACGACCGCTCTGGCTGCTCCCCCTTCCTCCGCTCACGACCTTGCCCCCTCCTCATTATACTCTCATCTCCGCCTCCTCCTCCGCCTCCTCCGCGCCCCCCCCCTCCGCTACTCCTTCTCCGCCTCCTCCGCCTCCTCCGCCTCGTCCTCTTTCCCCCCATCCCCCCCCCCTCTGTCCGCTCCCTCTCTCCTCTCCTCCCCTTCCTCCTCCTCCTCGTCCTCCTCCTTCTGGGTCTGGGTCTGGGCGCGGCACTCCCAAGCGGAGTGCGTTGGTGCCGAAACCCTGGGCAAAGGGCAGGCATGAACGCTGTCCCAAATTCGGCGTTGGCAGTGGGGCAAGTGCCCCGCGCGCGTGCCCGCGCCCAGGGGGCCGGGTTTTGCTCCGTGCGGAACAGTTTGGGGGGCCACCTAGGAGCTGCGCTAGCGCTTGCCTCGTCGCCAAGGTCAGTTGCGGCGCGCAAGTGCGCGAGTGTACGTTCACATGCCGCTCCTTCCTGCCAACCCATGAAGGCGGAGGGAACGGCGAGAGGAGGGAGGGGGAGGACAGGAGGAGGAGGAGGAAGAGGAGGAGGAGGAGCAGGAGAAGATCCCAGTTAGAGAGAGAGAAAGGGAGAAGGAACAGTGAATCGGGGGAAGAGAGGCACGACTGCCAGGTAATGCTGGTGCGAGACCAACCACAGGACGGGGTCGAAGGGTCTAGGGCAACGGGACCTCGCTGGCGCTGGCAGCTCTCGACACGAGAAGGGCTTGTTTGCGCACTGTGTGCGCACGCCTGGGCACCGGCAACACCTCGTAGTGAGCTGGGCGGACGGAGCTGAGGGGCAACCTGCATATCATCTGGGGCTGCAAAGAGTGGGGTGATGACTGGGGGGGGTCGACATCATGGCGGGGGCCATGATATCTCCTCCGATCTCACGGCGCCTCTTCTTGTTTCATTACGTCCCTGCCCCCCCCCCCCGGGGCCGCGCACATGCCGCCGGCCATGATTTGCGCACCCCCTTCTTGGACACCCCCCTCTTGGCCGCCCCCGATATCAGCACACCACGGTCGTCCTTATCTGCGCACCCCCTGTCCAGCAGCACGGGGCGTTGTCTCGACCTCGCTGAGCGACCGGAGCAACCTACTCAACGGCCAGAGGCCCTGCGCGGGCCCAAAAGACAGACGGAACAACCATGCAGCACCAGGCGCACCAGGCGCACCACGCGCGCCAGGGCCCCCAGGGGCCAGAAACCAGACGCGGTAACCGGCGTGCCACGCTGCAACCATGCAAGAGCAGCAGCAGGAGGCGCGGTCGAGTACAAGAGATGCGAACGTCACCATCTGAGGCAACCGCAGAGGGCGGGGGAAGGCGGGGAAGGCGGCAAGGGCCACGAGCGGACGGAGAAGAAGGCGGAGGGCGGCAAGGACAGCAAAGGTTGGACATGAAGGGATGCATCCCGATTCACGCCGATTCCCGAGCGCCAGTGCGCGAGCAGCTGGGCGCGCCGAGTGCCGGGCGCCATTGCGGGCCGCCCCACGCCGCACGCCGCCCAGAGGGCGTCACAGCACGAGCTTACGCAGCAGCGCACCAGGGGCGTCGCTGGCCAGAGGCGCCCCGCGGGCGAGGGAGAGCCGAGTCCGGCACGTAGCGACGAGGGGCAGGGAGCAGCAGAGGCCCGGGAGGGAAGGGGGGGGGGGGGCAGAAGAGGTACGAGCAGGAGGGGCTCGGCGAAAGCTCCCTGCTGCGCCCCGCAGGGGAGAGTGAGCCCAGCCCAGCACGCGGCGACGAGGGCAGGCAGGCAGAGGAGCAAGGGGAGGGAAAGGAGAGCGGAGCCGCAGCAGCGGAGGGGCAGGGTGGATCGCGAGAGCGGGAGGGACTCGGCGCGAGCTTCTGGCGCCCCGCGAAAGAACGAGACGAGGCCGAGTCCAACAGTGACGACGAGGGAATGGCGGCCACCCCCAGGAAGACGGGGAAGAGGGGCCAGGCAGAGAGCCGCGCCCGCCGGCTCCACAGAGCCCCGCCGGCCGCGAAGGCCCCGCCGGCCCTTCGGGGGTGCCCAGACACCACCGCCGCAGCCAACACTGCATGGCGGTCCCCCCGCCGGGGCGCCGTCGGCCCCGCCGGCCCAGCCGGCTTGAGCCTTCCCCTGTGACCGCTCTGGCTGATCCCGCGTCCTCCACTCACGACTTTGCCCCCTCCTGTAGCAACGTGTAACAGTGTGCAATGCTGAATGTCTCCGTGCTGGCCGCAACTGTCTGTGCTCAAGCGGTTTTCGAGGCGGCGGATGGGAGATTTCGGCTGGGCCTTTTCTGCCGACAAGTCCCCTGCCCCGGCGCCCAGCTTCATAAGTGGCGTCAAGGAGGCGTTCGGCGTCAGCCCCTGCGCCTTGGGGCTGTCGAGCGCCGCCCACGCCTGCCTGGGCGCGCAGGACATCTGGGGAGCTCCTGTACCCCTCGGGCTGTCCGTGACGGCAGCCGGCCTGGCCTTCGCGTTGGGCGCACTGCTGGTGCTGGCGGCGCAGGCCTTGTGCTGCTCTTGCTACGTGACCTGCAGGCTGGTGCTGACGGGCGCTTCCGTGCTCAGACAGCCGGGCCCTCGGGAGGTTCTTGCCCCCTTGGTGCAGGACCGACAAGATGCGCGCGGTTCCGAGAAAGCGAAGGTCATTGGTGGGGCTGAAGCCGGGGGACGTGGTCTTCGTCAACTACGGGGTGGACGAGGAACCCTGGCATGAGCGCCTGATCCTCGCGGTCGTAGACCACTGCTGTTACATCATCTTGACCCCAGATGGGGACATCTACGCGGAGACCATCAGCCTGGAGTACCTCCAGGACTTCAGGGCCCCCGAGAGGGGCTTCCCCCTGGGCTGGGCGCGGCGCGCGGCCAGCCCGTGTACCGCTTCTCGTCGAGGCCGGTCGGGCAGGAGCTGCAGGACTTGTTCGAGGAGGGCCGCGCCAAGGCGGCCGAGGAGAGGCGCACGATGGGCATTCTGGAGGACGAGCCGGAGCCGCCACCAGCGTCGGCGGGAGCCGGCGCGAGCGGGGCTCCCCCCCTGCCTCCCTTGGCGGGTTCGCCTCCTGCTGGGTCAAGCTCGGAGCTCTTCAAGTGGGTGTGCGTGGCGCGGTCGGCACAGGTGAGCGTTGGCAACGCCTTCATGCTTGCGGCGCAGCACCACACCATCGGACAGCTTCGTGAGCTGCGGCTCGGTGGGCCTGTATGACATGGGCCCGCGAGGTGATCCCGTGGTGCTCTACCGCGTGGAAGTGGTGGAGCAGGAGGTTGAGATGATCGAGCACTTCAGGCGCTTGACGAAGAAGGACGGCGACGTCGAGGGCACGGACACTCCCCAGGTGCGAGCGCCAGGAGTATCCAGCGCCGAGGACGCCCGCACCTTGCCTGTGCTGCGCGACAGCGCGGGACGGCGCTTCAGGGACATGAAGAGTGTGGCGAACAGTTCGGAGATGTGTGCCTTCGACGACTGGGTGCTGGAGGGGCCGCGTACGGCATTGTACCTGGTGAAGGAGATAGCTAAGCAGGCGGCGGGCCCCCTCCAGCGTCACTCGACCTGGAAGCACGAGAACAAGCTGCAGGATGACGAGCACAATGCGGTGACGCGCGAGATGCTTTCGGAGATCCTTGAGCTGGCGACGACGTTCGACCAGCTCGACGTGTCGAACTTGGCGAGCATGGAGAGCCTGTGCCGCCACATCCAGTACATCGAGCAGCGCATCAAGAAGAAGCGGGAGGCCGGGAAGGACTTCGACCTGCAGGACTACTACCTGGGCAGGACGCGGCGCACCGGCGGCGCGCTGATGGCCCCGGAGCTTCAGAAGTGGGTGGCCGAGTCGGCGGCCCGTGATTCGTCCATCTTGAAGGAGGAGAGGAAGGCCGCCGAGGAGCGTGCGCTTGCGCGCGCTCCAAAGAAGTCATGATGGACCCAAGATCTGGGGGCTGGCCGTCCCGGGTCGCAGATTCAGGCCGTATCATGGAGAGGGTAGTGCCGCGGGACCTGTTCCCCTTGCCCGAGGTGACCTACAGCTCTCCTGAACAGCGCCGAGGTCCTCGCCGTGCTGCCCAACGTCTGGGCAGGAAGGCGGCCATCGGCCGACGCTCGAACGACTGCATCGCCGCCCTCAACAACCTGTATGGGGACGGCTCGTTTTTGCCTGGAGGAAGACCCTCTCAGGCACAGTTCTCGGCGCTCGACGGCATCCTGCGCGCGGTCACCGATGACATGCCGCCGGACCCGTTGCCCGCCCCCGAGGCAGCCCTTCAGGAGTTGCTCGGTACCGAGGCCCTCGACTACGCGTCTGAGGACCTCTCCGTGGTTGCACCGTATGATCGCGGCTTGGTCTCGTGGCCGGACACCGCAGGCTCGGTGAACTTGCTGGACGTGTTGCCAGACCCTGACCGCCAGGAGGTGATCGACGGTCCCCGTGCGTTTCTGCTTCGGGCTGAGGAGGGGCCGCCAGCGACCTGCAAGGTCTACTGGGACAAGACGCTCAAGGCGGACAGAGGCGAGTACGTCAGGTTCGTACAGGACCTGCTGAACAGGGGCATGGTGGAGCTCCGTACTCGCCGTGATTTTGAGGTTGGGATATTCTTCGCGCGCAAGAAGTCAGGCAAGTTGCGCCTGATAGTGGACGCCAGGTCCGTCAATCAGAACCTCAGGCGGCCCACTTCAATCCAGCTGGCGTCGACCGCGGCGATGGTCGGGCTGGAAGCGGAGCCTGGGGACATGCTAGAGTTCTCGATTCAGGACATTGCTGATTGCTTCTACCAGTTCAAAGTGCCGGACTACATGGCGCAGTGGTTCGGGATGAAGCCCGTCAGGGCTGGCGAGGTGGGGGCCAAGACCGTGCAGGGCGAGCCGGTCCTTGCAGGCGCCCGGGTCTACCCCTGTCTGCGGGTGCTGCCCATGGGCTTCTCGTGGGCCATGAGATGGACGCAGCAGGCTCATCGAGAGCTGCTGCGCCGGGCAGGGCTTGGGGGCATCGAGAGCGAGCTGGTGGACCGCCAGGTGCCCCCGTCGGCCTCGGCAGCGCCTGCCCCCCGCATCGTTTACGTACGTGGATAACGAGGTCTTCGTCTTGTCTCGCCCAGGTGCCTCTGCCGACGCCAGGCGACTGGCGGCCAAGAAGATGTCCAACATCGGGCTGCCGCTGCATGAGGTGGAGGAGGGCAAGCATGTTGTCGAAGCGCTGGGCCTGGAGCTGGACGGCATCAAGCTTCGGTGCCGCCTGGCCTCCTCCAAGCGGTGGCGGCTGGTGCAAGGCACGCGCGCGCTTTTGAGGCGGCGGCTAGTGGCCGGCAGGGAGGTCGAGAAGCTGGTCGGCCACTTCACGCATGCCATGTTGCTGAACCGCCCAACGCTTTGTATCTTCCGCTCCGCCTACGACTACGCTCGGAAGCACTACCGGGCGCCTAGCTTGCTCTGGCCTTCAGTGAGGCAGGAGCTGCAGAATGCCATGCACATCATGCCGCTGCTCGCGGTGCAATTCGATATGCCGCGGTCAGGGTTGGTCACCTGCTCCGACGCTACGCTGAGGGGCTACGCCGTGCAGGAGGCTGACTTCCCGGTGTCTGAGGTCAGGCAGGTGGGGCGCTGGAGTGAACGCTGGCGCTTCAAGGTCGAGGGGGCCGGCCGGCCTCGGGAGCCGGCCGGCCTCGGGAGCGGGCGTTGGGCGGATCTCTGCCGCTCGATGGACTCGATGCTTTAGCTGAGAATGGAGATCACTACGACGACGACATTGCCATTAGCATCAATCATCAATTCCCTGAGCTACCAGCATCGTTCACCAAGGAGGAGGTTAATTGGAGGACTATACAAGCAAGGAGGTATCACAGGAAGGAGGCAATCCACCTGAAGGAGTTGAGGGCGGTGTTATTTGGGTGGAGGCGCAAATGCAGGCAAGCTAAACATCATCGTAAGCATCATCTATTTCTGTGCTACAACATGGGCATGGTTCTAAGTCTGGAGAAGGGGCGGGCTGTGTCTGTACCCGTACTCTTTCTGCTCCGAAAGTGGGCCGCTCTTTCTCTGGCCACCTTCTCTCGCACCTGTGTGAGATGGATTGCGAGCGAGCTGAACCCCAGCGATGAGCCCAGCCGATGGTTCGACACGCCTGCTGAGAAGGCGGCTGCAGCTGCGCTGGGAGCCCACCGGCGTGAGGCTCACGGAGAGGTGCCTGAGGCGTGTAGCAGCGCCTCCCGCGCTGGCTGGTGTAGGCGCGCCTGGCCCCCCCCCGCCGCCGGCGAGCCGGCCCCCGAGAGACAGCTGCAGCGTCGGAGCGGCCCGGTGCCCAGCGCGGTCGTCGGGCCATGGCAGAGTGGCGGCGGCCCAGGTTACCTCGACAAGGCGGCTGCGCGGCTCGTCGACGAGGTCTCGCCGATCCCCTGCGAGGTCGAGAGGCCCCCTCCCGCCTCTGGCGGCTGGGGCGAGGGACCGGGCTCGAGCGAGGATCGCTGGTACTGGTGGGCCGACCGTCCTGGAGCAGGAGAGCGCAACGGCGAAGACCAAGGAGGACTACGAGCGGAGGCTGGAGCGGTTCTTCGGCTTCTGCAGCATCAACGGCCTGGCGCTCGACACCGACCTGCTGCTCGAGGAGGCCCTGGCGGAGTGCATGGACCTCCTGTTCGCGCAGGGGGAGCCCTGCAACAGCGGGGCCAAGCTGCTGGCGGCGGTGGGCCATCGCTGGCCAAGGCTCCATCATGCCGGGCGGTTGCTGAAGCTGCCGAGGGTGGCGAAGGCGCTGCAGGGCTGGCGACGCCTGGCGCCGCCCGTGACGCGGGCGCCCGTGCCGTGGGCCGCCATGGCGGCCATCGCGCTGGCCTTGGTCAGGTGCAAGCAGCCACTGGCGGCTCTGGCAGTGGTGCTGGCGGCAGACGCCTACCTTCGGCCAGGCGAGCTGCTGTCGCTCCGGGCCAGCCATGTGGTCCCAGCCCAGGCGACGGCCGGGGGGGGCTACCGCTTCGCGTCTCTGGTGCTGAGGCCAGAGGAGGAGCTGCAGCCGACCAAGACGAGAGGCTTCAACGACTCGACCCTTCTGGACAGCGTGTCGAGGCCCTACCTGGGCGTGCTGGTGGAGCGGCTGGCGAAGCAGAAGGGCTTCTCGGCGGAGCTCCTCTTTCCGCGGTCGGCCGCGGCTTTCACTGCCATGTTCAAGCGTGCCGCGGCCGACGTCGGCCTGGAGGCTTGGGAGCTCACGCCGTACATCCTCAGACATGCAGGCCCGTCACACGACTGGCTGACCAAGGCTCGGTCCCTGGGCGGCATCAAACGGCGCGGAAGGTGGATATCCGACATGAGTGTTCGGAGGTACGAGAAGAGCTCGCGGGTAATGCGGCGCCTGGCGACACTGCCGCGAGATTGCCAGCTGCTGTTGGCCGAGTCGGCCAACAACCTCGAGGCAGGGCTCAGGTTCGGGCACGTCGGCAGGTTCGAGAGCAGGCGCCGAGACGCAGGCCTCGCGTGAGGCCCCTGTTTTTGGAGTTGTTTTCGGGCAAGCGCGGCCTTTCCCGGGCCATGTCTCGCAAGGGCTGGCAATCGGCCACTTGGGACATCCGGGACTCTCCTAAGCAAGACTTGTCAAAAGAAGCAGTAATTAGGCGCGTGTTGAAATGCATGCCCAGCGCAGGCTGGGTGCACCTCGGCACGCCATGCAGCAGTTTTTCTACAGCGCGTCGTGGCAAGCTTGGCAGTCCCGGGGCCCCCCTCAGGTCCAAAATGTACCCTGAAGGCCTTCCTGAGCTTTCTGGCATAGTTGCGGCCAAGGTGTCGATCGGAAATCGTCTGGCCCAGGCTTCATTCCGTATCATTCGATGCTGCGTCCAGTTTAACGTGCTTGTGTCCTTGGAGAACCCCAGGTCGTCCTGGCTGTGGCAGCAGCCGGGGCTGGCCCCTTTGTTGCGCAGAGCTTGTCTGGTGAATACTGCATACTGCAGATTCGGAACCCCGTGGCGAAAGGCCACTACTATTGCCTGTTGGAATGCTGGCCGCCCATGTGCGCTGGACCCCCTGCGCGCGGAGTGCACTGGCCCTCGCTGCAAATATTCTGGTGATCGGCATCAGGTTTTAGAAGGCAAGGCGCCAGGAGGCAAACTCTGGACGTTGGTCGCAGAGCCTTACCCTCCTCGCTCAGTTTCCTTGTGGGCGTCTTGTGTCGACGCCTCGAGACAATGATGTGGACCCCTCGCCTGTTGCGCGGCGTGATGATAACTGCGTTTCGCTGCTTGGGTCTCCGCGGCGTGCTTGCATTGTTGGGGATTTCGGCTGAAAAGGGCCGCCTCAACCGCCAGGTCGCTAGATATTGGCGGATATCGGCAAGGTGGCCCAGCTGGTCCTTTTCTTTTGTCTCTCTGCTGCTGCCAGACAAGCCCGGCCGCAGCTGCAGCGAGAATAGCCTGGCCTGAGGAAAAATGGAGCATGTAGCAACGTGTAACAGTGTGCAATGCTGAATTTCTCCGCGCTGGCCGCAACTGTCTGTGCTCAAGCGGTTTTCGAGCCCAACCACTCCACTTCGCGCCTCTCTCAGAGTGCTCTCGCACTTCCGCAAGCGTGGCAGCTGCTAGAGGCAAGGTGGCCCAGCTGGTCCTTTTCTTGTGTCTCTCTGCTGCTGCCAGACAAGCCCGGCCGCAGCTGCAGCGAGAATAGCTTGGCCTGAGGAAAAATGGAGCATCGTCATCCTCTCATCTCCGCCTCCTCCCCCGCCTCCTCCTGTGACCCCCCCGCCGCTACTCCTCCTCCGCATCCTCCTCCGCCTCGCCCTCCTTCTCCCCCTCCCATCCTGTTTCCCCTCCCTCTCTCCCCCCCCCCCCCCCTCCTCCGCCTCCTCCTCCTCCTCCTCTTTCTCCTTCCCCCTCCTTCCCCCCATCATTTTCCTAGCCCTCTCCTCTCTCCTCCTCGTCGTCGTCGTCGTCCTCCTCCTCCTCCTTGTCCTCCTCTTCCCTCCACTTCAACCTCTTTGCAAGGCGGGGACTTCTGCATATTCAGACGCCCGGGCGCCGATGTCCGAGGACCCCAGGCGGCAACGGACGCGGGCGCACTTGCATCCCCCGTAGGGCCCGGGAGATTCATGCATGCCCGCCGCCGTCCGAGGTCCTGGAAGATCGGTTCCCCAGGCGGTGGATCTTCGTGGACGGGGCGCAAATCCATGTCCACGGCCTCGCGGGCCGGGTCCCTGGGCCACGACCCCGCGGATGCGGCGCGCTGTTCTGTGCGGACGATCCGCACGGATCCTATCCATGCGAATATCCACGGGCTCTCGCCCCGAGCTCAAGACCGCGAGGGCGTGGATGTAAATGCGTTCGCCGCTCTTGAGATATTCTGGGCATCCCAAATGAGGCTTGAGTGGGTGGGGTCGGAGGATCGCGCCGCATGTTCGATGCATCAGCTATGCGGCTCGAGGTGGAACTCGATTTTATCCACGCCAGCGGCGCCGTTGCGTCGCCGACGTCGCCAATGCATCGGATATACATCGACGAAGCATCGGCGATGCATGGGCGATGCGACGCGGTCCCACGACCCCATCTGCTCGGACCCATTTGGGAGGTCTCTAGATATGGCGAAGGCCTTACGACCGGTGCCGCCGACCCTGAAGGCGGCACTCGACCCCCGCTGGCGATCCCCCCCCCGGGACCCAAGGTTAGCGGTGTTCTGACCTGGGATCCCCCCTGTACCCACCCCCGCAGGGAAGGGATAAAGGAATGGGCTTCCCTTCCACTTCACTCCGACGCACCTTTTCCTTGTTCTTTAATTTCCCTGCTTGGACTGTCGACGACGACGACGACTCCGACTGCGACGGCGGCGACGACGATGGCGACGAAGACGACAACGTCGTCCACGCGCCGAGGGGCCGGCGGATTTGGGAACCTCGTCTCGCGTTCCGCCTCGCTCGCGGCACAGGACGATCAGCACCGCGGAGTCCTCCACCGTAGCGGCGGGGACCCAGCTCCACTCCGGGGCAGAGACTCCGTGCGCGCCCGGGTGGAGCGCTGCGGAGGAGCCCCTGGGCGCTGCGGCGGTGGCGGAGAAGGGGGAGGAGGAGGAGGAGGAGGAGGGAGGACGAGGAGGAGAAGGAGGGAAAAGGAGGAAGGAAGAGGAGGAGGAATAACTTGAGGAGGAGGAGGAAGACAAGTAGGAGGAGTAGTAGGAGGAGGATGAGGAGTAAGAAGAGGAACAAGCAGACAACAAATCATAGTACTAATGACAATCTGACCAATAATGATCTTACTAAGAACACGAAGACGAATACTAATCTCAGTACTGACATTATGCCCGTATTACTAGACATATTTCTACTAGTAGTATCACTGCTACTACTTCTACTACTACTACTCGTACTCCTACTACTACTACTACTACTACTACTACTACTACTCGTACTCCTACTACTACTACTACTACTACTACTACTACTCCTACTATTACTACTACTACTACTACTACTACTACTTCTACTACTACTTCTACTACTACGACTACGACTACGACTACGACTACGACTACGACTACTACTACTACTACTACTACGACTACTACTACTACTCATCAGATTATCGACACCGATCGTAAGGTTGATACTACGAGCACTCAGGCTACAGTACTGCGATTGTTAAACTTGGCACTCATATTAACACTGCCACTTATAACAGGCTTATGAATATAACTAACGACGCTACTTCTTGTAATGGTGGTATCTGTCATAAACAACGAGCATAATACTACTACCAGTGCTGACAACACTGGTCATATCATTAGTATTATCATGCTCATGACTAATGACACGAATATCAGTCCTCAACACATTCACAACCATTCCCATAATGAGAATCATAATGCACATACCTTTACGGACATCACGCGCAATAGCAACATTTCTGTTCACCCCAGTAAATTGATCGGTCGGGCGACTGCAAATACTCATGTTAGCACTAATTTGAAGAGGCGGATGATGATGCTGATGATGTTGATGATGATGCTTCTGCTGATGTTGATGAGTTGATGATGATGATGACGATGATGACGATGGTGATGATGATGCTGATGTTGATGATGCTGATGATGATGCTGATGATGATGATGATGTTATGCTGATGATTGTGGTGATCATGATGATGATGATGCTAATGCTGATACTGATGATGATGCTGATGCTGATGACGATGCTGATGCTGATGATGCTGCTGACGATGCTGCTGATGCTGCTGCTGATGCTGATGATGCTGATGATGATGCTGATGATGCTGATGCTGCTCATGATGCTCATGATGCTCATGCTGATGCTGCTGATGATGAGATGTATGCGGATATGGAGGAGGAGATGGAGAAGGATATTGAGGAGGAGGGTGAGGAGGAGGAGGGGGAGGAGGAGCAGCAGGAGCAGGAGGAGGACCATGGATGATGTTGATGAGGAGGAGAAGGAGGCCCTGGATGCGGAGGAGGAGGAGGAATCGGATGAGGAGGAGGAGGAGGAGGAGGACCACGACCAGTGTAAACACAAGAGTCATCAACGATGTTGGAATACACCCTCCCCCCAGGCTCCCTTGTCGTAGGCCCCTGCAAGGGTTCATTTCCACAGGGATTTGCTTCGTCGGACGACTTGCTGACCATGGTGCATGCCAATACATCGTTCTCGGGATTCGAACGCCACGGATCAACCTAACTGTTGCGTCATGACGACCCGGGGGTGGAGGACAGCGAGGACGAGGAGGAGGAGGGAGCTCGAGATGAGGGGAAAAGGGAGGGGGAGGGGGAGGAGGAGGAGGATGAGGAGGAGGAGGAGGGGGAGGAGGAGACGGAGGCGGAGGCGGCGGTGGAGGAGGCAGCGGATGATGATGATGATGATGATGCTTTTTTTTTTTTCTGTTTTTTGTATTTTGATGTTGTTTTTTTTTGTTTTTTTGTTTTTGATTGTTTTTTGTGTTTTTTTTTTGTTTTTTTTCTTGATGATTATTTGATGATGATGATGAGATGATGCTGATATGCTGATGATGATGATGATGATGATGATGATGGTGGGGTGGTGGTTGGTGGTGGTGGTGGTGGTGATGATGATGATGATGATGAGATGATGGTGGTGGTGGTGGTGGTGGTGGTGGGGTGGTGATGAATGATGATGATGATGCTGATGATGATGGTGATGATGATGATGGTGATGATGTTGATGATCCTCCTCCCTCTCTGATGATGATGAGGTAGATGGTTGATGGTGAGTGATGATGATGATGATGGTGGATGATGATGATGATGTGACGATGATGATGATGATGATGATGATGATGATGATGATGATGATGATGATGCTGATGATGATGATGATGATGCTGTTGCTCATGATGCTGCGGATGATGGTGATTATGATGTTGATGATGCTGATGATGCTCATGATGATGGTGGTGGTGATGATGATGCTGCTGATGATGGTGATGATGATGACGATGCTGCTGATG